TCCTGGAGCTCTAGGGTACTAGATCATTTTTTCTTATAAAATGAGGTAAAAGCGGCGTGGGGGGAAGGTCCGTTTTGTTGCTTTAACGTTTTAATTATATCTTCAATTAAAGTACTGAGACATAGAGAGGGATTAGACAGGGTGTCTTTTGTCTTGCCCCGGTTAGGATTTCTTAAGCAAATCCACTGGGCTTTCAACATGAAGCCAGAAAATCGGGACTTTTTAAAAACGGCCCGGGACATGGGATAAATTGTTATAAAGCATGACCATCCCGCTGAAATCGGGACGTCTGGTCACCTTAGAGAAAGTAGGTTTGAATCTCTACATAATTTATATTCTGGGGGCCGCAGAGCTACTGCAGGATCAATAGGATTGCTTGCACGATGGATTTTTTTTTGCTTTTTTTGTATTTTTTTGCTATTTGTTTGGAGCATATAGATCAAAATCAAGGCAGGATAATGTGAGGTTTAATACTAGGTGTAGCAATTAAACACGCTATCTGTTCCAAGCAGAACAATGAAGATTACATCAGTAAATTTAGTGCAGAAAGTTAGGAAGCTGTAAACACAAAGAAATCTTCCATATCATGGCACCTCAGAAGTCCTTTATATATGTTGGATGCTATGTTTAAATGCTGGTTCTATTTCTATAAAGCTGTTCCCTCCCCAACCTTGAACAGAAACATTTACAAAAGTCTCTCTCACAAAGGCATTCTTACCTCCTAACCAGCTTTCATTTAATCCTTAAATTTAAAGATTTAAGCTTTTCCTTCCATGTTGTTCTTTTGAAAATCACTGTACTTTCTGTTTAGCATAAGAGGAAAAGTAGCTCCCATTTCCTTCAGGTCAAGAGGCTTTAAAACCTAGCACATCGGATAGACATAACTACTTGTTTTATTCAGACTTAAGCACTTCTTTGAGGTTCATTAAAGAAAAACTTATTGTGGAGTGTAGCAATTCTTGAAACTAGGCCCAAAGCTTATTCTTCACAAGCAGCCCATCTGCTGGCATAGATTTTATATGAAGCAAGCATCTCCTCTAGACATATTTACTACTTCTGTTTTTCATTTTTGTTCATTTATATGCTATTTCAGGAACATGAGGCTATGCAACTGCATTGTTCTCAGAATCTTCTTCAAAACACATGTTTTTTAATGGCCTCCACTTTTTTTAAAAAAAAATTCTCTCATATTTTGGGGGGATGGGGGGGGGAAGTGGAGAAGTTTGTTCCTGACAATCCAACTCTATTTTGATTGGAAAATTACAGAACAAAATTTTAATTACAGTGTTTGAAGGGCGATCAATTAGCAGACTAAATGTTTTGCTGTTGGTAGTGGGATAGTTATGTCTTGTCTGGAGCAATACCAATTGTTGGGCACGTTATTGTGGGAGGTTAAACCTGAGGTCAGTGGATTGGAACTGCTAAATATATCACATTCTTTAGGCAGGTCCTGCATGGCTAACAGAAAACAGAGCTTCCTTCAAACTCCTGCAGCAGCTGGCTGGGGAGATCTTTCTTTCCCCACTTTTAAAATAGCCATATGCAGTGCAAAATGACCAAAATGTCAGATTGTATTATAAATTAATCTCACCAGGGCTCAGTGTAACAATTACAAAAACCCTGTGGAAGTTTGAGCCTTTTCAAAATATTTTGATAGGCTAAAAAATAAAACAGTAAAAAGATGATAAAGCACTTTTAGACTATCAAGTCAGATCATCTTACAATAGAGGTCATTCATTTGGAAGAATAAAAATGGCTTGTTCACATGGAAAATCACTTAAGGGCTTTTTAAAGCTTTGGCTTCTATTAGCACTACTTTAAGAATCAATAATGTGGGAACGTTAAAGAATCCATGGTAATCTAGTCTATTTTTGTATATTAATTCAGAGCATAAATAAAGAACCCAGTTGATCAACTGCATTCTTGACCTGATTTCTATGTTCTGTGCCTCACCTACCCCTCAAAAAGTTTCCTGTTAATCATATGAAGATTAAGTGAAGTGCCTCAGGAGAATGCATATTTCAGCACTGAAACAGCCCAACTTCAGTCCTGCCTGGTAAGTGTAGAATTGTTACCATATAATCCTGACTGAATCCAAGAGAGACTTCTTGAATTCTTGCTTGTTTTTATAGATTTATGCCTCCGCTTGAAAGTTTTACTTTTGTATGAACTATTTCCCAATGTTAATACGTCTGTGTTTTTTAAATGAAAATAGTACCAAAAGGAGTTATTATATTTTCTTGGATAATTTGTTCCAGTCTGCAAACAGTTTCAGAGTTATTCTTCGGTTTGAGAGTGACCACTTCCCACACTTCTTATATGTAAAATATATAGTTCCATAATTTCATGAGGATGATTTATATGAGCCATATGATTTTCCAGGGAGAAGATCATGTTGCATCAAGTAAATAAATAAATAAGCTAGTCAAGGCAATTAAACAGCAATTTTTCTCTGAATAATTTTAAAGTGTACAATACATCTTTGTTTTTAACTCTATAAAGTCTCCACCCAGGAGATGTGCAGGATTTACAAAAGTTATTACCTCAGAAAAACATTGGCTGATGTCATGCAGGTATTGCTTTAAGGTGTGGAAGCCAAGAAACATTTATTGACAATTATAAGGTTCATAAAACTAATTAAAGTATAATGTTAAGATAGTATCATATAAAGTAAAAGCAACTTTATGAATAAGTTTTCAAACATCAGAAAAACGTTGCTATAAAAAATACCCGATTCCCCCCCCTTCTTTCTAGCAATAAGAAATAAGACTTCAGTTTATTTTGACTTCTGACTACAGACCGTCATATAAATGTCACATTTCCTATAAATACTTGTATTCCACCTGAGACTCAGGCGAGAGATTTTAGAGAACCATACAGTAGATCAAAGAGTCCCACTCTAAAATCTAAAGTTGCAGCATGTAAACCCCTTATAGTAATCAACAGAAAACAGGTTGGCCAAGCAGTTTTTCTGAAAAAAAAATATTATGGGTGGAAATGGGAATGTGAAACTTCTAGGAAGGAAACTACACCTACCCACACCCCTAAAACTTTTCAGAATTTATGAAAAAGCCTCGAAATCATATTATTAAATAGTTTAAAATTTCATACTAGTTAGATGTACGCAAGCAGTTTCTGAATTACTTGAAGTTTATTCGATGGTTATTTGAAGCCTCCCCAAACCTTGAAATAGTATTGAGGACCCTGAAATCAATGTATTTTAATAGGATGTTGGTTAAGCTGTGGGATTAAGATCCTGATTTAATTTGCCTTTTTCCATTCGATTCTCTTAAGCCAGTCAATATCACTCATAGCTTCTTTGGGGAGTTATATGAATAAAGTGGAAATGATGAGAGCCAGGTTGGTCTTGTAGTTCTCTTTTAGGCATGAGAGCTACACTATATTGCCAAAAGTATTCACTCACCCATCTACATAATCAGAAGCAGTTGTGAGCGAATACTTTTGACAATATAGTGTATCTGGGTGACTTTACCCAGTCACTTTTTTTCTCAACCCAAACCACTTTACAAGGTTCTTGTTGGAAAAATAGGAGGAAGAAGAGGCATTAGGTATGTCAACAGCCTTGAATTATTTATAAAAATAAAAGCAGGATATAAGTAAATAAACTATGCTTTAAGCTACTTGAGCAGAAAAGTAGGATATAAGCTGATTAATTATTGGTGTGATTTATAGCAAATTGTTCTGTAAAGCTTCCATTAGGCTCAGGTAAAGTGATTACAATCCATTTCAGCAAAGTGATTTGGCCCAAGGAAATTATAAAATTCACATCAATCACACAAAAAAGAGAGACCACTCTACTTGCTTTGAGGAAACAATTTTGGTAGCCTTGAACTGAAAAAGCATGTGTAGCATGTTGCTTTGGAATTGACCACATTGCACCCACAGCTTTGCTAAATCATAGGAGACTTTCTGCTGGCTTGTCTTGGATGACCTTCAGTGCAGGGGTGAGAATACTAGGTTGGTCAGATCAGTGCTTATTGCAGGAGGGTCTACAGATTCAATGAACTAAACCAACCTGGAAGGCAAGCCATTTTTGGTGAGGAATAGGTCTCTTGAAGCCCCCTTTAATCTTCTTTCACTGAGCTTGCACTGACAGAAGTCTTCTTTTGAGATCAGCAGTGTGAAGTCTGAAGGTTATGAAATAAAAGAAAGCAAAGCATTGTTCACTTCATTTCTCTCTTTGAAATCAGAGGAACCCCTTGCTTCATGAAGCAGTTCATTTCTTCAACACTTTGTCAAAACTTTGCAGAGATCTGCTTTGTGTTTCTTTCCTTGTCTTGATTTGAGGTACAATAGTTTTTTTATGAAGTTGAGGTTTTCATAAATCCTTCCAGCAGTAATTCATTCACATACATTTAAGAGGTAAGAATAATATGGCCAGCACAGATTCTACCATTACAAATATCCTTTAAATCAATGCATTTATTGATTTAAAGCTGAACCTGACATTTTACTTGATACTTCAACCTTCATTTTTTCACCGATGTTGGTTTTTAATCCTTAATTTTAAATTAGGTAAATGGAAGCACCTATTTGATACATAATGGACACAATTATTTTTTAAACAATTTGATCTTTTCAAAAGCTGTTCCTGAAAATTGAGCAATCTCTTAGAACCGTGATGGCAAACCATAGAGCCATCTCTCTGGGCACGCCAGCCATCGCCCATTGCTTTTCTGAGTTCCGTCATGCATATGCTTGCCGACCAGCTGGTTTTCTTGGGCATGGGAATGCCAGAAACTGGAAGAGCACCTCCCTAGCACTCATGCATGTGCTGGGAAGCTGAGCTTCCAGTTTCCGGCATGCATATGCACACCAGACAGCTGGTCTTCGACATGCATATATGGCAGAAACCAGAAAACCAGGTGACCAGCATGCATGTGCATGCTGGAAACTAAAAGCTCAGCTTCCAGGCGTGCATGCGTGCCAGGAACTCCTCCTCCAGTTTCTGGTGCTCCTTCGCATATACACCAGGGAGCTGCTTTTCCAGTTTTCGGCCTTCTCCCTCATACACAGTCCTGTTTCAGCACTCAGTGCTGAAAAGGTTCAACAATACTGTCTTAGAACAATAATGGAATTCATTGGTGATGACTGTGGGTAGTTTAGAGACTGTAAGAGAAGCAAGTGCAATATTTGTGCAAAATCATCTTTGGACAATGGACTCTGCTGCTTTTACTGCTAGTAAAAGTGATGTGACTATCTCTTTGCCTAATAATGTAAGTTCTGTACATTATATGTATGTATTATGCAATAAGTAACAAGGGCATCTACTTCTTTTTATTAGAAAAGAGAAACTTAAAATTTCTCCATGGCTGATAAATCCACAGTTGGAATATTCATTCTCTCCCCTCTTTGGAATACATATTTTCCAATGTGGAAAATATGTTCCTCTGGGACAGAGGAAATGAGGTTCTGTGTTCTAAATCTGTTTTTTTAATGGTTTGGTGGAGATTTGGCTATTTGTTTTTACTCTTTTGGTAAAGAATAATTTTTTTAGCTGACCCCTGGGATTTCATAACATACCACAGCTAATGAATGAATCATACTTTCAAAGCATAAATAAAAACAGCTACAGTTTAATTCTCACCACAAAAAGGAAAACATGCAACTGAGATGGGTGGCAGGTCACTGCTACTTTATTGGTAAGATCAATATAGAAAGAAAAGGTGGGAGGAAGGAAAGCAAGAAGCAGGGACAAAATACCTTGATAAATTTCTACTGCAGACTGATTATCAAAATATGTTGAAGTATGTGGCATTTCTTTCCATATGTTCTATCCCAAGAAATCTTAATGAGATAACAAAAAGCCTGAACTGAGGTGGACAAAAATACAGAAAATAAACTAACAAGGCAGAAGTGTTATAGACCTAAAATCTAGAATTCTATCCAGTTTTGAATTTATGTATTAGGTGGGTTCCTCTGAAACCGAGATGTATATTTTATGGATGTTACTAGATTCAGCTTCTTACAAAAGACCAGATAATGCTAATGTTCCAAATCAGATTAGAATTGCAGGTTCAAAAGTTGACCAGGTTTCTATGTAACTTTGGTATAAGTGCTCTGGACCTCCATAATTCCATCACTTCAGTAGGATTTGATTTAACATTTTTGACTTAGCTAAAAATAGCTTTTTAAGAGAAATATTGTGCTAGTGATATTGGGAATCTGGAGATAATGCTCCAGCTCAGGCAGATTTGCCAGTTATGCTATTTTTGGGATGGGAACAATCTATTCAATGTTATTCCTGAATCTCATCTCTGGTGTGCTTTATTTATACTGTTTTTCTCATAGCAGTGTATCTTCCTTTCTAAATTGCTCTTCCAGTTAATGGGAAAGGATGGGCATTCAAAGATTCTGTGGGCGTAGCTTGATGGGCGTGGCAGGGGAAGGATATTGCAAAATCTCCATGGAGCCAGCCAGTGGTGGCAGTTGCCGGTTCTTCGAACTACTCAAAATTTCCTCTACCCGCTACCAGTACTTCAGAACCTGCTGAATTTCACCCCTGCAGCCTTCTAGGCTTTAACACCTGACTTAAATCACAATGAGGATACCACTTTAGTATTTGTTTCCAGTTCAGGAGTCATGGGCAGCTGCAACAGCTGTGAAGTGATGAAAAGGTATGTACTTCAAAACAAAAGAACTGCCATCTTCAGCCATTTGCATGGTGGAAAAAGCCTAAAAGAAAATTGGAAGACATTTTAAACCACCCCAAAATGAACAAGAAAAACAAATGCTACTTTTCAGATGACGTTTGGTCATAATTAAAAGATCCAGTCTTTACTATTGTATTACTTTGAACTGCCATCAAATATTCTGAGCATGCAGTCTCTACTCAGGAGTTTGTAGAAGCTGGACTGAGCTTCCTTGAAGATTAAGTCTTATAAAGGAGAATATTTGTAGCTCAGGGTTGACATGAGGGATCCCTTGTTCTGTCTTAGCTTGCTTGCTTTCTTGCAGATGTTTCTTTACCCAAACTAGGTAACATCATCAGTGCTAGTCAGGGCTGATTAGCACAGATTATGTTACCTAGTTTGG